AATCAGCACAGAGCAGAGAGAAGAGATATTTTCAAACTACTATAGGCTGAGTGCTTCAGAGAAAAAAATGTTTATACTAAGTACTACTGACATGGGTGACCCTGAAAGAAGAAGGAAGGGAAAAGATAATACTAATTCAAGGAAAAAATGTACTCTAAGATATTCATTTATCATTAACAACAATAAAATACGTGTCTGTAAACTCTTCTATTGTGGCACTCTGGGTATAAGTGAAAAACCAATTTACACAGCCCACAAAAACAAAACAACGAACAATACTAGTTTACCGAGTACTCAAGGGAAACATCAGAAAAAAGTTACTGCTGCAGTGGATGCAGATCTTGTGCGAACCCATATAAACATGTTTCCTCGCGTGGAGTCGCATTACTGTCGAGGAAATTCTAAAAAGGAATATTTAGACGGCAATTTAACAATTCACAAAATGTACGAGCTTTACAAGGAATTTTTGAAAGAGAAAGAAAAAGAAAGGAATCCAGTGACTTTTTGTATTTATAGAAAAATTTTTTGTACTGAATACAACTTATCTTTTTATAAACCGCGAAAAGATAGATGCGACGTATGCGAGGAAGTAGGATTAAAGAGAAAGGAAAACAACCTCACTGTACAACTGGAATGTGAATTTGAAAAACACATAAATGAAAAGAACAGCATGAGGAAAGAGAAAGATAAGGACAAACAAGGTTCAGTTCCGATTTTATGTTTTGATCTAGAGAATGTTTTGAGTTGTCCCAAAGCTGAAGTAAAAAATTTTTTCTACAAGAGCAAACTGAATGTATACAATATGACTGCCCATTTATCTGTTAACAAACAAGTTTACTGTGCTGTTTGGTCAGAATCTTTACATGGACGCTCAGGAAATGACATTGCTAGTGCTGTTTATAAGATACTAAACCAGGTACTCTTCGACCACCCAGAGTTTGAAGAATTGATACTGTGGAGCGACAGCTGCGTTCCACAGAATAGAAACAGTTTCATGAGTTTTGCGGTTGCTCACTGTATTCAGCGCCATCCTAATTTGAAAAAACTTACCATGAAGTTTTCTGTGCCGGGTCATTCAGCAATACAAGAAGTAGACGCCATCCACAGTTCCATTGAAAGGACCCTTGCCAAGACTGAGTATCATTCACCAGTTTCCCTTTTAAGGATCTTACTTAAAGTAAATCAAAAAAAGACGTTTAAAATAATGCAAATGCAGAAAAAAGATTTCTTTGATTTCCAGTTTTATTTTTCCAAAATGACCTACAACAACCTTCCATTTTCGAAGGTATGTTGTTTGCAATTTTCAAGAGCTTTACATCAAATTAAATTCAAAACTACCTTTACAGAAGAATCAGATTATGTTCCTATAGATTTGAGACCAAGAAATTTGCGTAAACATGTTATTGTCACAGCGGATTTTATTGCAGACATCCCAATCGAATTAAAAAAGCACGACGTTAAAGCAACATTGCCCCAAACCAAAGTAGATGCATTGTCTTCTATGTTTAAATGGATGCCAGCAGTGGATAGACTATTTTATGAAAATGTATTTCATAATATGTGAACCCATTATACCTAAAATGATACTTTTTGTTCCGTTTTTATAAGGTGTATGTTACAAGCTGTTTTTTTTATTAAGATTTTCAGGATAACAAAGTCGTATGTTTTTTTTCAAATCGCATTTTTTATTCTGTAAAGAGTATTTTAGTGTTTATGTTTATGAAAAATAAATGTCAAGTTGCTTATGAATTGCACCCCGACTTTGATTTTGAAACAATTTTATATAAATCATAAACTTTACCTCCCAAATTTTCAATACTCTATTTCTCATTTTCGTGTTCATGTTACATACTACCTTGTAATATTGGGTGAGCGAAATGTCTATGGTACAGTGTAGTGGAACATGTAAACAAAGTGGCCATCAAAAGATCTTTCCGGCAAAATAATTGGCAATAGGTGGTAAGTACGTTTCTATTTATTATCCACAGAGCGTACATCAATAGGTCATCATTCCGGGAATACGTTTGTTAACTTGGAATATTGAAAAAATGCGTTTCATATTCTTTATGACAAACACTAACCTGAAATATTTCACATTAACCAAGCCAAACATGACGCCAAAGATGGCCGCTGGCTAAAAAGGGCGCGTTTATTTGAAAAAGTCATTCCGGGAACAGTCATTTTGGGAACGCTGCCGGACTTGACGGAGCGTTCCCGAAATGATGATGACGTTCTCGAGATGACTATTTAATTACCCGAGTAGTTTATGTTATAACTATTGCGTAATTAATGTAGTGCATGGTGCGCTTAAATAGTTTTAATACATGGTTCTTTTCTAGCAATATGGAGTCCCAGGACGCTGCAACAAAAAGAAAACTTTCTAAGAAGCAACTTAAAAAAAATAGAAATACAGAGAAAAGAAAAAGACATTATCAACTATACTAAACAATACTCCGCCACATTCCGATGATGAGTTAGCTGCAACACCTTCAGTAAGAAAAACAGTGGGTAGAAAAATTGTGCGGAAGGACAGAGCCAAAGCATATCGTAAAATCAAACAACAGGACAAAACAATTGCTAAAATTACACGTAAATATGAAACCTTGAAGAAAAAATTAAGAAGAAAAGAAAATAGAGAACAGGAGAAATCTCAGCCACCAACAACTCCTAACAGCAAGGTTGACGCATTGATAAAAAATGTTGACGTCCCTCCTGAGGTGCGCAAGAATCTTTTATTTAACGAAGTACTGACTACGCAATTAAAAGAAAAAGCTGGTAGTTTGAAAAAAAACTCTAAAGAGAATGAAGTCTTCCAAAAATGTGTCAGCGGTGATTTGGTAAGGAAATACAAATTGCTTCATATGGTTAAGACTTTTTTGCCAAAAGAAAGAACCAGTACATCGATTTTGAAGTCGGATACCAAAATTCGTGAGGTTGTGTTGAAGCACGATATTCGTCAAAAAGTTGAAGATTTCTTCCAGAGTGACGATATCAGTAGGATGTGCCCAGCTAAGAGAGATTTTGTGAAAAAAAACGGCATTAAGAAACAAAAACGCATCCTTTTATTTCCTGTTAAAGAACTGATGTCAAAATTCGTTAGCGAAACTGGAATAAACTTGTCTTATACAACATTATTAAGAGCAAAACCATTTTGGGTGGTATCTCCAAAATTAAGAGACAGACAAACTTGTTTGTGTGTCAAACACGAAAATTATGAATTCAAGCTGAAAAAATTAAAAAGCTTACACCAAATTGCTCAAGGGAGTGTAGAGAAAAATATCGAGGAGTATAGTTGCGACATAACTTCTTATGACTGCATGAATGGTATATGTGATAAATGCAACAATCCTACGCTTGAGCCAACTGATAATACAGATTCTGTTAAATATTTCCAATGGAAGTCTGTTATTGAAGAAAAAATTGTAAAGGGCCAGAATAAGAAGTTCAAGATCACGAAAAAAGTTACAATTTCAAGTACAGTCAAAGAATTAGAAATATCTTTTATTCAAGACATTCCAGTTATGAAAAAACATTTATACTGCATTTATAAATACAACAAATTGAAAAAAGAGTTGAAAGAAAATTTAACTGAAGAAGAGATTTTGATACAGATAGACTTTTCGGAGAATTACACAAGTAAATACGCAAGCGAAATCCAGTCGACTCATTTTGCAAAAAAACAATTGTCTATTCATACAGGCGTCTATTATATACGGAACGTTGACAATATTTTACAATCTAAATCTTTTGCTACCGTAAGCGAAAACTTGGATCATCAAGCTCATGCGATATGGGCTCACATGAAACCGATCCTACAAACGGTATTGGAAAAAAAAGATATTAACGTCCTTCATATCTACTCTGATGGTCCAACATCCCAATATCGCAATCGAACTAATATACATCTCTGGTTACAAACATTAATAACTGAATTCAAGCAGATAACCAAATCTTCTTGGACGTACAGTGAACCTGGGCATGGCAAAGGACCTATGGATGGCGTAGGTGGTGCTCTTAAACGGATTGCCGACAGGCATGTTTTAATGGGACGAGATATTCAAACAGCCTCAGACTTAATAAATTTATTCACGGATTCTACTATTTTAGTAAAAGAGATTCCTGATGAAGACATTTCTAGCGCAAAAGATTTAGTTCCGAAAACATTAGATGCTATACCAGGTATCATGAATATTACAAGGATTACATGGCAAAGAGGACCAGACGTTACAATCAAACTGTACCGACACGAACGTTTTGAAAAGCAACTAAAAATGTCTACATTATCTTGCAGCTTATATCCGAAGTTTGAACCAATAAATATGGGAATACTGTCAAGGAAGTCTCTTCAACCGAACGAGTCGATGGATATACAAGATCTACTGAAATCAAAGAAACGGAGTATCTATAAAAGCATTTATTATTCATCATCATCCGATGATGATGATTTAATGTCGATTTCTGTCCGTCAACAGACTGCGCAAAAGTCAGTTACTGTTGAAGCTGGTACATCTTACAATGAAGGCAAGGAAAACCTACACCCAAATTTGATATCCCCTGGAACATTTGTATTAATTAGAGTACCTACACAAAACAAAACTGTCAATTACAGATATGTTGCCACCTGTAAGCAATGTTGCCAGATTACACGATTAATCGTGTAATTACACGATTTCGGTCCTTTTTACACGATTACACGAATCAAGTGCCAATTCTCACGATTTTTGATTCTATAAAAAAAATAATTACTTTTACTTATTTAAAATGCGAACAGCACCCAAATCAATGTATCAACTCCACTTATTCATGTTTATATAGGAAAGTTTTACGCTTTCACGCGGTCTATCAATTGACGGCACTGACGATTAATTCGGGGAATCCCGTAGAGCCGGTTCATGTTGATCACGTCGTACGTTGTCAGTTTGCCTTCACTACTTGTTTTGACTTGTGCATTTTGCTTACTGATACTTCCATCTAGTATTTTATTAGAAGTCGTATTTAAAATGTGTAATACTTCTGATAGTGAGAGTGATGTGCCGATGCATGAAATAAAAGATGTTAGCAGTGTTAGTACGCCTAAAAAAACTAAAAAGTGCGGATTATACGCAGAAATACAAAAGAGACTGGGAAAAAGAGTGCAAGTGGCTCCAGTCAAGTAAGAAAGGTCCAACTTAAGCGTGGTATGATAGTTTGTTGTAAGATTTTGTAACTTTAAAATAATTTAAGTTTATAATATTTTAGGTGCAAATTCTGCAGTTCCGATATCCTTATTGCGAGGGGCAAAGGAGAAATTAAAAAGCATACCACCACTGCGAAACACATAAAGTCAATATCAACCATCAAATCGCAACCATCTGTGGCGTCAGTGTTTGGCAAAAAATCCAAAAATATTGACGAAAAGGCAACAGTGGGTGTTTTGCGTCTTGCTGGTGTTATAGCGGAGCAATAAGATTATGGAACATATTCCGAATTTAGTTAAAAGTATTTGCCCAGATTCCGAAATTACGCAAGCTATCAAATGTAGTCGTACAAAAATGACTAACGTGATAAGAAATGTTACCGGCGATGAGGAAAAAATGCAACTAATAGAAATACTGTGTACAAATAAATTTAGTTTAATAGGAGATGAATCTACAGATAGGTCCTGCTCGAAGCATTTGTGCCTTGTGGCCCGAGTTGTGCTTAATTTTGAAATAAAAGACTATTTTCTAACCCTTTTATCAGTTAAGGAGGCAACGGGGGCTTTTTAAGTTAGTGTCTTGCGTTTTAATAGTGTTTTCGTTTCTGATATTTGCAATAAAGTTTATTTATTGAATATGGTATTTTGATACTCGTGTCTATATACATATTATTTAAATTAAATTTAGCAGTTTTCGGCTTTACACGATTTTACACGATTTTCGGCAGAAGAGTTTCATGAATTTCTTTTAACTTCATCTGGCAACACTGCCTGTAAGACAGGTGTCGATAAAGATGATGGAGAAATCCTAGTCACTTACTTAAAGTCGGTATGTAATAGTGCCAAAAAATTCAAATTAAATTTGAGTGACGTATCCTACATTGCATTTGAGCAAATAATTAGTATTATTCCAATGCCATTACTAAAAAAAGAAAATAATCGAGAATATTATTACTTTGATACTGACATTAATGTTTATGAACAATTCTAATTTTTATTTAATTTTATATAGTATATATCCACGTGTTTGATTATTGTATGATTAAGAACGCTTGTTTTTGTTCAAAAGTTTAATTTGAATTTACTATAGAAATACCTTTTAGTAACATGTTTACATCTATAAATAATATATGTTTACGTGTTTAATTAATATGGTTATAGGAACTTGTTTTTGTTTAAAAGTTTAATTTGCTTTTACTGTTGAACTATCTATAAGTAACATGTTTAGATGATTTGATTATTATTTATTACCAACAAGATTAAACTTGAATATGATTATGAAAAATCTTTGCTTGGTTGATTGTAAGACTGGAAAAATGTGATTTAAGTTATATTTTTGTTAAGAATAAACCTTCTGCCAAGTACATAAATAAGTATGCTATCCAAAAATTTCTTTTTTCATCGTCTAACATGGATTTTATGTGTACCGTCATTTCGAGAACACATTCATCATTCCGTGAAGGCCTGATCATTTCCGGGAACATCACTAAATCATGGATAAAACATTATTATTTTGAATATTCTGAAAAAGGCCCTAGTAATATAAAAACTAGGCCAACTTTTAATGCGTACAACTTACTCATTTATATATAAATCAGCAATATAAGCATATTTAGATAATTTAATACAAAGAAATAGTCAGATGGCTCCATTTGTAACGATATTTTGCTTTTAAATATTTGTTTTTGCAATTTTGTTAGAATTTTTTTATTTCCTACTATTTTTCACATACTTCCGCTACTGAACAGAGTAAAGAAGAAATACTTAAGTTATATTTAAATTTTAAAATGAATGTCACAAAAACGTTCCCATAATGACTCTTTTCAGCGGTAGCTCAATTTAAAAATCAAATGACAACAATAATAATTAATTCTATGCTCTGCCAACGTAAATATTGTTTAAACACAAGTCTAGTGATCATTCTAGATAATCATCAAAGTAATCGTTGCCAGTTATTTTTTTTATGAAATAGAATTTGGAATTTGCCACCTTGGTGATTTTGACCCACGTATGTGTCGATGAGACTGTAGTGCCTTTCCGTGGAAGGCTAAAATTTAAACAGTACATTGCCAACAAACGACACAAGTTCGGTATCAAAATGTTCAAACTATGTACCAAGGGAGGCTACACATACGAATTCAAGGTTTATTGCGGAAAAGAAAGAACAGAAGAGACTAGTGTTCCTTCGAAAATCGTTTTGGAGTTGATGAAGAACCTACTGGATGATGGACGTACCCTGTGTACCGACAATTATTATACATCGGCTTCTTTAGCAATGGCCCTTCTGCAACGTAAAACATATTTAGTGGGAACTTTGCGGTCAAATCGGAAATATAATCCTAAAAGTGTGACGGAAAGGAAGTTAAGTGTAGGAGAATCTGCAGCAGCAGAACGTAAAGATGGCATAACTATAGTCAAATGGAAAGACCGTCGAGACGTACTAATGCTAAGTACAAAACACAAGCATGAAATGGTTGTCATCAAAAAAAGAGATAAAGAAATACAGAAACCCAGAGCAGTAATCGAATATAATCAATATAAATCCTACATAGACATAAGTGACCAATTGAAAAGTTATAACACGCCTTTGCGCAAAAGTCTAAAATGGTACCGGAAATTAGCTATTGAGTTGTTGTTAGGCACAATGTTAGTAAATGCGTTTATTGCATACCAGGAAGTCACCAACGAAAAAATATCCATAACGAGCTTCAGAGAAAAGATAATTGAAGGACTCATCAAAGAGCAGATCACACTAACACAAAATGTTGTTCCGGACCATCGCCTGCAAAATCTTGGTCGATCCCAAAGACGTCGATGTTTTGTATATTTCGATGAAATCAAGAGAAACGATGGAAGAAACGTATGCGTAAAACTCCGCAAACGACGCTAAAGTGCATGGGTTGCGAAAAGCACTACTGTTTAGATTGTTTCTTTCAGGTTCACATTTCTACCAAAATTGAATAATATTTTCAGTTTCACATGTTTAAGTTCTCGTTTTGTTTGTTGTTGATCTTTTTTCTTTTTAAAAGGTTTGTCATAATTATTTAGAAATAAAAACCACTGAAAACTATAACTTCGACTTTTACTACAATATTTTGTCATGTGAGACCGCACTGGTATCACACAAGTAAAAACCAACAGTTTCTACGGGTTCATTGGGCCGCCTATTCATCGATACAATGTAATTCAAATGCAGCTAGGAGACCACCGTGGCTTCACGCAGCAATATGAGTTCGTTGCCAGTGTGAGTCCACTTAGGATTCACGCGGATAGAATTTTCATAAAACCATGGTGACACGTTGGTCTTACATGGCAGTCAACGTGTTAAAACAGCATTATGCAAAGGAGTGTGACTTATGGCATACTAATAACCCTGGATCTCGTCTGTCATTGTATGACATCGTAGAAATATTTTCGAAGGCTTTTCTTCATATTGCCACTATGGAGAAAGCCATAAAAGGTTTCGAAACAACAGGAATTTATCCATTTAATGATGAAATCTTTTCTGAAGAATATTTTCTGTCTGCTGAAGTCACAGATTTTCCGGAGGAAGACAGAACTGAAAGACTAATGGCTGCAGAGAATCTCCCAGATAACCACCACCCAGCAATTGACGGGGTATTTAAAGAACCACCAGCCGGGTTGCAGTTATGCCTCGTTTAAAGATGCCATATTGGCAGCTTCTCCAAAGCCAAAGTCAGATTCCCGTAAAAATAAAAGCCTGAATTCAAAGAAGAAAGTTAGTAGAGCTCAGCATTCTTAAGAATTGACAAGTTCTCCATTTAAAGATCAGCTTATTGCGAAAGAAGCCGAAAAAAAAACACAAAATACCACAGGTGTAAAAAGGAATCTTACTGGAAAATTCAAAGGAAATTTCTTCATAAGAAAAAGGACAACCGAGAAAAATAAGGTCGTGGAAATTTAAAATAGTGACAGTGAAGAGGAGGAGACCATGTCTTTAGTGCCCAAGCAGATATCGTGAGTCAAGAGCCGAGGAGGGATGGATTCAATGCCAGAATTGCAGAGGCTGGGTACATGATGCGTCCGCAGGAGTGTCAGAGGACGAAAAAGAATTTATTTGTTTAAAGTGCTCCTAAGTTGTAGTACAACATTTGTATATTATATTTAATACAACTGTTAAATTCTTAAAATATACAATATGTCTTGCGCAAACACTATTTCAAGTCCACCCAATTGCAAAATTAGCGTATGGTCCCCTGTGCCCCAGTGCTAGGTCCTCTGAGCCCCAATACCACGGGGCACATAGGACCAGCGTAGAGTGTTAAAAAATCGTCTATAATTGTTTTTTGTTACGGTTTATAGTAAAATTACATTTGGCAATCGTTAAAGTAAGGTACACTCTAAAAGAGACACGTTTTATAATTTTTAGTTAATTGTTTTTAGCAAGATATACACCAAAAATTCTTAACAGGTCCCCTGTGCCCCCTCCTCCCCTACAAATTTTTTCACATATCTATATTTAATTGTGAGAAAAAAAGGCGATACAGTGTTTCTAGGTCCGCAGCTCTAATCAATGTTTTGAACTAGATTCCTACTTTTCTGAACTCTCTCGTTACGAAACCTCTAGTCCGCCGATAAAGTAGTAGTTCGCCTAAACATTGGCGACTTTTCCCAGAACGTGATCAGTATTTTGTAGCGTTAGGGAGGGGGGGGGGGGTTATCCCGGGCACCCTCAATTATGAACGCCACTGATACCGGGCATTCTAAAATTTTATAAAACCAATATGAGGGATTTTAAACGCAAAAATTAACTTTGGAATTTGTATTTCAAGGGCCACAACCCAAATAGCTTGATAGATTTTGACTTTTGAGGTGTCCTTAGATTAGTCTTGATGGAGGAATAAAATAGTCATATTTTTCAGGTACCGCCGTAATATTTGTATTTTTAAAAATGAGCTTGTTTAAGCATAAAATTAAATTGCATGAAATCGAAAAAGCCTCCCGGATGGTTTCTCAGGTGTCTATCTATATAAAGTCTGCTATATTGGAGACGCACTTTATTTAGGTGGTAAATACAGTACTCTCTTCTTTCATAAGAATCTGAACGACATCCTGGTAAATGTTATTTAAATTTGATCTCATTTCGGTTCGCAACCTGAAGCCAACACAGCAAAAATTAGAAATGGATTATCCCGTACCACCCGCCACCTCGCTCACCCAGGAGTATAACGGCGGCCTAAGTATGTCTTGTTAGAAGTAGGGTTCTGGGGAAGACTGGTAACGAAATTCTAAAGGCGGAAGTCCAAAGGCTTGAAGGTTATCCCAGCCTGGATAGGTAGGAATATTTTCCAGCTCAACGCTTCCACTACTTAGTACTGTACCTTATCTAATAGGAGGCACTAGTAATTCGGTTTCAATTGATGACCGGGCTCCAGTGGCATATTCTCCTCATAAACACCCAGCCTGCCACAAGGGCATTTGCTATCACGAGCGCTGCTGAAGAATGTAGCCGCTACACTCCTCCAATTTTCAATCATCAGTACCTCCCCCAAGACGAACATCTTCCTGAACATGAATCCAGCTTCCCTCTAGACAGAGTCATAAATCCGTCCTTGCCGAACTCTGCCGGCAGAGTTGTTACGTAAAAAACCTATAAAACGTCAAAAAAAAACGACAAAATGTCAAATTGCTGCCTAGACAGTTCCTAGTGTGCAAATAGTACATTCCGCGTTTGCGCGCTATGAGCGTCATCAAAAGCGTCCATCTATGAAGGAATGACTCAACCACAGGAAACGCTTAATAACCATGCTGCAATCAGTTCCAGATCATGCTCTGTTTGCAAGATGTGTGGTTAAGTAGCAATATCACATCTGGATGATTGTGTGTATTGCTCTGCATGTGTATAAAAGCAATGATATTTGCTATGTGGGAAAATTATTACTAAATATGCTGCCTAAGAAATATATATCTATCAGCTGTGCCAGACGGGTTATTTGTGTTTCCGTTATGTTCAAAGTTATATACAGTACAACCTCGATAATCCGAATACATGCTAATCCGAAATCGCGATAGTCCGAAATAATTTCATTCCTCGACAATCCGAAATCGTATTGCGTCATACCTTGATAATCCGAAAAATCGTGTCATAGCCTGTCGAACTTCTCAGTACATAGGCTGTTAGTTTCGAGTGCGGTGCGTTCTTAGTGCCTAGAGTTAATACGCGTTTGAAATATAGTTATAATTCGTGCACCATGTCTAAGAGGAAACACAAGACACTTAGCCTTGCGCAGAAATATGAGATAATTCAGAAATTAGACAACGGACGAAGTCCAGTGCAGCTCGTCGCAGAATATGGAGTTGGGAGGTCAACCATCACAGATATAAAGAAAAAGAAGACCCAAATTGCTGAATACATGAATTCTCATCAACAACAAACAACACATCTGACTTTGAAGACGGCCAAGCACCCCAATGTAGAGACGGCGTTGTACACGTGGTTCCTGCAGCAGAGGACCAAAAATGTGAACATTTCGGGCGAAATCCTGCAAGAAAAGGCGAAATTTTTTTACGAAGAAATTACGGGACGACTTTGCGGCAAGTTCTGGGTGGTTGGATAATTTCAAAAGCTATTTCTAAATAAAGTGCGGGAAATGAATTTGGGTCCGGAACAAGGGTATAATGCCGATGAAAGTGGGCTATTTTGGCGGGCGCTACCCAATAAGACATTAGTACATAAAGACGAAGACTCAGCTCCGGGACGAAAGATAAGCAAGGATCGGCTTACTTTCATGCCATGTGCAAATGCATCCGGATCTCACAAATTAAAGCTGTTCACAATTGGAAAAGCTGCCAATCCTAGAGTATTTAAAAACTGTCGAAATGAGTTGCCCGTGATTTACAAAAATCAGAGATCTGCTTGGATGAATCAAGAACTTTTCAAGCAATGGTTCCATGAAGAGTTCGTTCCCTCAGTGCAAGCTCATTTAAAGCAAATCGGTTTACCTCCTCGTGCTCTTTTGCTGCTGGACAATGCACCTAGCCATCCCGAACAAAAAGAACTGCGGAGCAGAGATGATCTAGTCTGTGTCTTATATTTGCCACCAAATTGTACCCCATTGTTGCAGCCGATGGATCAACATGTCATTCAAGCTATTAAAATGCACTACAGGAAGCAGCTTCTTCTTCATTTAATTGCTGATGATACCGAACCTGCAGAAGCATTAAAAAGTTTCAATTTAAAAAATGCAATTTTTAATCTCCACACGTCGTGGGAGAACGTCAGCACTGAATTAATAAAAAAATCATGGAAAAAGCTTTGGCCTTTAAATATCCATGAAAATTTGGGCGATGAATACGATGACGAAGAAGACTTGATGCCATTAGCAGAACTAAGGAGAAGAGCGATATCAGATGAGCGAGAATTTGAAGAAATGACGGTTCTGATGAATGTCATCTCATCAGGACCGGATCTTGCAGCGAATGAAGTTAGAACATGGGCCTTGGGCGACGCAGCTGAAAATGAGCAAATAACATTTTCTGATGAAGATTTGGTAAACATTGCATTAAGCGGCAACAACGATGACACCCCTGAAGACGCTGAAGATTATGAAAATTTAGCAGTTGTGAGTCACGGTGAAGCCGTGCGATGTTTTACTACTTGCATAGAGTGGGCGACAGAGAACAGTGTAAGCGGTCCAGAACTGCTAATTCTTCGCCAGTTACAGGAAAAAGCAGTGAATTTACGCTTTAAGGCGCATAAGCAAACTGTAATAACTGATTTCTTTACCCAATAGATTTATGTATACATAATTATGTATGTACTGTACTCATATAAATACATATGAATGTTAATTTAAGTTTTTTTGAAGGAGAAAATTTAATTTTGTTTTACGTGCAGTATTTAACTGACCACTGTCCTTGGTTTGTTAAATTTATGTTTTGTTGAAAAGAATAAAGTTTATTTTTTAATACTTGTGTCTAAATTTATTATTTTCACTAGTTTCACGATAATCCGAAAATTTGATAATCCGAATGCTCGGTGGTCCGAATCTATTCGGATTAACGAGGTTGTACTGTATGACGATTTTTCCCGTTTTTTCGCGTTTTCAAAAACTTTGAGGAGGCATTACGGGAAATCCGCACCGCACCCGCGTTGTGTGATATTAAGCCACATCACAGACAAATTAGGAATGACACATCCCATACAAAACACTTTCGCACTGCCTCGCATCTAGGCGCTGATTTGTATGTATTTGACCATATTACGGCACAGCTTTCGTGCGTTCAAAGCTGAGCAAACAGACATTGATTTTTCTAAAAATCATCCATTGAAACTTATATTTTACGCTTTACATTCATTCATTACAAATGATCAAATATCAGTGTCCAAGCTCGATGCGACTCAGAAAGGTAATTCGACTGATCATTGACAAGTTCTTGGCAGGCCGCCTTAATTTTCGTACCATATCTGATCCTTCTCTGCAGTAACACACACGGAATTTATTCCTATAAGGTACACTCTAGGATGCCAGTTAAGTAGGCTCCTCGGGCTTCTGCTCCGCATCCTAAAACGTGTAACAAAATACTTGCTCGCTAACAAATAGCCGAGACAAACATTTCAGAGTGACATATGTATACGGAAATAATTTTGATTTTACTGCAGCTGCACCTGCAGCTCGGATATGTCTGACATTTCCTCAGCCATCTCGGAAGCGTCGACCGTTTCGTATTTTTGCTCGTACTTCGGTTCGATCATCTCGTCGTGGTCGTCTGTTTGATGGCCGCCAGATGTCACTGTGGTCACCGTAGCCACGTTCACAGACTCCGCGCCCGTATTGGTGGACGCGTCATCGCTGGACGAGGTCGGCGTTTGATTGGGTTTTGTGCGACCGTACTTCTCGTGGATATTTCGGTGACGTTTCAAAGCAAATCTGGAACAAGAATTTATTGTATCACTTGGAATCGAAGGTATAGCTTATACAATACTAAACAGCTTCGCAGCTTTCGCCGATACGAGGGTTTCGCATGCAGAATTTGCAGAGCATCCCAGTAGCTCACTATCACTTCGGTTGCAAAGGCCAACGGACTATTTGGAACGTGAACCGAGCGGGCTACTACACGCCACGATTACGCGTGACAGTTTCTTGCAGCGTGTAACGAGCTATTAAGATCATAGAAATTTGCCCAAAAGTTAAGCACACTTTTTATTAAACAAGGGTGTCTGCGAAAGGTTGGGAAATCTCGAAACTGGAGATACTACATACCAAAATATGAGAATTGAAATAAACATACCTTAGTTCAAAAGTTGATAGTTTGCGAGATACATGGTGTCAAAGTTACAATTTTATTTTCTATTTTTCGTTATTGCTTGAGAACTATTCCAGATTTTGCATAAAACTCGGTATATGGAGGTTTTCTAGTATGAGAAACAAGAATCCGTTATTTTTTATGGCCAAACTTCTAGAGGTTGCCACTTACACCACTATTTCGGTACATAAATTATCATAACTTTTTTGTGCTACCCTGTATTCAACAACTGACCAAAAAATCTTATTTTCTCGTATTTACACAACAAAAAAGGTTTACTTGTTAAAAGTCTCTAAAGCAATAGTTTTGGAGATATTTGTTATTAAAAGTTCCAATGCATTATTTGTACCATGATAAAATATTTTTATAACATAATAATCACGTTGCTTTGGATAATATCTGAGTAGCGTTGGTATGGTTTTTAACAATTACAAAAAATGAGGATGGCAACAAAACTAATAAACGGAAATAACAACTACAAAAATTGTTCAAAATGAGCACCACCTTGCGTAACACACTCTCGAGCTCGACGAACTAATCCTTGCTGCACTCTCCAAAGCATTTGAATGTTATTTTTCATTTCCTGGCTATGGTAGAAGATTCTTTGTCGAATATCATCTGCAGTTGCCACTGGTGTGGAAGAAGGAATCCATAGGATTTTAATCTGGTGATACAGGTCCTGATCGGCCTATCCACTGGTCTGGATAAACTCTATTTAGGTGCTCTCTAACTAATATACGAAAATGAGGTGAGCGCCGTCGTGCTTAAACCACATATTCATGCGTGTTTGTAATGGAAGATCTTCCAGCAGAGTGGGTAATTGTTCTTCAAGAAATTCTAAATACCTTTGGCCATTTAGTTTAGGTGGTAACTCAACGGGTCCAATTGAATATTTTCCAATTATTTCTGCCCATAAATTAATTTGAAATTGTACTTGGTGGCGAGTTTGTATAATTGCATAAGGATTTTCGTCTGCATAAATGTGAAGATTATGCGAGTTAATGGGTCCATCCCTTCCAAATCCTGCTTCGTCCGAAAATAATATTAACGAAGTAAAACCATTGTCGTGATTAAACTTGTATGTACTTTTTGCAGGTGGTATGGATGGAGCAGTTGCTCTTGAAAAATGGTATTTACTGTACATTTGGAAACTTGAAATTCTAGAGCTACATTCCTAACCCCAACTGTAGAATTTTCAAAGACAGCATCTAAAACATTTTCTTCAACTTCAGCTGTACGTACAGTTCTAGGAGCTCCACTATGTCGGTCCATATCCAGATGGTTTTTACTACTCAAAATAAGGCTATAATCATTTCTTACCAGTTTCTCGTAACCGCTGATCGATTCGTTGGAAAGTCTTTGAATTAGGCAGGTGTCTATTAGGGAATATGTCAGCGTACAATCTTCGTGCTTTTAAAGCATTACATCTTGTCAATCCGTACATTAAATGCATATCAGAATATTCATCAAACGTATACTCCATGATGTTTAACAACTTATTGACAACATAAAATTATTCATTAAGTTTAAAGCAATATTGTGACCAACATTAGAAACCCTAGCAACGCTACTAAGATATTATCCAAAGCAACTTGATTCTTATAAAAAAAATATTTTATCGTCATGGTTCAAATAATGCATTGGAACTTTTAAAAACAAATATCTAGAAAGCTATTAGATTTAGACACTTCTAACAAGAAAACCTTTTTTGTTGTGGAAATACGAGAAAATAAGATTTCTCGGTCAGTTTTTGTCTACAGTGTAGCACAAAAAGGTATGATAAGTTATTTACCGAAATAGTGCTGTAAGTGGCGTCCTCTAGAAGTTTGGCCATAAAAAATAACGGACTATTGTTTCTTTTTTTTTTTTTTTTTTTTTTTTTTTTTTTTTTTTTTTATACTCCAACTACCACGAAGGCCAAAGGCCTAAGCACCCATTGGGTACCGTGGGGCTATGGGGGATACATGGGAGAGGGGGGACGCCACACGGACTCTGGCGAGGGAACACGTGTGCATGCAACATGCACACATTCTGGCTCCGCCTACGAGAACCGCCGGGTGGTACCTCCGCGTTCGACAGTCAGAGACCATCTACCACCTACGGACAATCACAACATCCATGGCCAAGAGAAACATTTCTCCTGGGACGGGACTCGAACCCGCACAGCGCACGGCGGCTGATCAGGAGACCGAAGGGTCTACTACTGCGGCCACCGCTGCTGCCTAAAACAAACACACAACATCCATGGCGAAGGCGAGATTCGAACTCGCGGCCCGGCCGGCCGGCTGATCAGTAGCACGACACTCTGACCCACGCGGCCAACCGAGGCCCCGAGGCCCTCGTACTAGAAAACCTCCCTATACCGAATTTTATGCCAAAATCTGAAATACTTCTCAAGCAATAAAGGAAAATAGAAAATAAAATTGTGACTTTGACACCCTGTATCTCGCAAACTATCAACTTTTGGACTAAAGTATGTTCAGGTCAGTTCACATATTTTGTATAGTGCAAAACGTACGCGTTCAAAGGTAACTGGAGAAAGTAGCAAGAGAAATGAATGGTAGATGCTTTCTTGAATGTCGCAATCGACATTTTTCATGCAACAAAATTTCGCGGTGCTAAGACCATCCGACGATTTTTTATTAAAAAGATACGGGGTGTTGAAGTTTAAAAATTAAAAACATTTTTTTAATATCTTCAAAACCGTCAACTGGAATGAACTAAAATTTGGTATGTGGATTTACCTAAGTATTGTCCACATTCAAAAGTCTTTACTTAAAATTAACGTACACCAGTGGCGCAGGTACAGGGGATAAATGGCATTATTTTTCCAAATAAAAATAGTACGCCACTGTTTTTTTTAAACGCGCAATTTTTGGAATTTTACCTTCAATTTGCTACAAATAATTCCTCCTGTGTTTTTACTAGAGAAAATAAAACATTATATGATTCATGAAGAGCCGAGACACAATTAGTTTCAAAATAAAATATTAGGCCTTGATACCAACTTGACGTTTCTTGGGAGATATTTTCTCAAAGATATGTGTTGTTATCGTTACTACTACCATTTTTTTTTGTAAAAGTCAAGTCAAAAGTTTCTTTTTTCCATTTCTGAGTGCTGTGAAATGGAATTTAGCAATGGAGTACGTCGATATTATTTTTGTGTACGGGTTCTGTGATGGACATGCTTTAGCGGCTTCTCGGAAGTATCAACGAAGATTTCCTAACAGACGCCAACCTACCCCAAAGGTTTTTACGCATTGTTTTCTAAGACTTCGGCAATATGAAATTGCCAAACTTCCCGGAGTTAGAGGCCAAAGTGTCCGTTATACTGTTCAAGAGGAACTGGAGGTGATTAATTTGGCGTTGGATGATCCTGGTACAAGTACTAGGCGGACTGCAGCCCAGATACCATGTTCCCAAAATCTTGCGTGGAGAATTTTAAACCGGAAAGTTTGTCTGCAACCCGGCGACGAAATTTTTGTGCGTGGTTACTGCAAATGTAAATGTATTTTATTGATTTGGTTTTGTGGTCAGATGAATCGCTTTTTACGAGGAGTGGAACCTTTAATTCTCATAATGAACATATTTGGTCGTTAGAAAATCCCCGTCCTGTAAGAATCCACTCGTTTCAACAAATTTTCTAGAAATGTCTGGTGCGGCATTTTCAATGGGCAACTGTTTATGCTCGTATTACCACAACGTTTAAATACAAACTAATAGCTTTTCTAGAGAACTACAAAGAAAATGTGTTAGATGATGTTCCGCTAGCAACGAGAGTACGAATGTAGTATCAGCAAGACGGTGCCCCACCGCATGTTCGTCGTGACATAACAGCATGGTTAATCACTTTAGACAATGATGGATTGGAAGAATCGGACCCGTACATTGGCGTGCGAGGTCTCCGGATTTGAACTCCCTGGATTTCTTTTTGTCGGGCGCTTTTAAATAACTAGTGTATGCTGAACAAATTAATACTGTTGATCAGTTACAAGAAATAATAGATAATGCGTTTCATCAAATTCAAGCCACAACAAATTTTGCGGAAATACGTTTTTCTTTATTAAAAAGATGCCGCATCAGTCAGAATAGTGGTCTTTTTGAACATTTATTGAAATAAAGCTTTGATCATCTAATTTGTTTTTTTTTATTTTTACGAAAACAATTCACCCTAGGAAAAAACACAATAGTAATTATTTGTAGTAAATTGAAGGTAAAATTCTAAAAATTGCGCGTTTTCGAAAAAAACAACAGTGGCGTACTATTTTTATTTGGAAAAATAATGCTACTAATCCCCTGTATCTTCGCCACTGGTGCAAGTTAATTTTAAGTAAAGACCTTTGAATGTGGGCGAGGTAAATACACATACTAAATTTTAGTTCATTCCAGTTGACGGTTTTGAAGATAAAAATATTTTTAAACTTCAACACCCCATGAAGCCCTCAAGGAAAAAATGTTACATAGAAGACCCCCTTAAAACGCGGTCCTGTGTATGATGTTTTATTTTTGGTCACGACGTGTGAATCACCCTGTATAATGTCATGAATTATAGCATATATCAGGGGTGGTCAACCCATATGATCTTGCAAGCCACAATGGCAATGCATCATAACCCGACCAAGAT